TAAGACATGAAGAAAAAAATCATTTAATAAATAAACCAAAAGCATAATGGATCCGCGCCCAAACGTTACGAATAATAAGAAGTACCAGCGCACAAATGATCGACAATTATTTCAATCCATCCATTCTCTTCTGCTATTTCGTCCTTTTAAACATTGCCATTCGGTCCTTTCAATGAACCAGTCAACCAGATGTTCGTATGCCGATGGACTCTGACACCCAAAAGGCCATACTATCCGTTCATTCCTATTCGCTTCCTTCGCTCCACTCCAATCACCAAAGCGCATTGCCGCGACCGCGCTCCACCGCGCCTCTCAGCTCGCACGCCTTCCTCTCCACCTCGTCTCTCGCATCCCGCCGGCCTTCCTCTCACACCGCTGTCATGCCCGCACCGCTATGGCGTGGTCCCCATAAACCGCTGACAGCCGCTGCCACCTCGTCGCGCGAGGCCGCAACCACCCAATTTCTATTGTCTCATCCACGCATGGCACACCTTCACGGGGCACCTAACACGTGCCCCGTCGGAAGCGTCCTGATTGCCCACCCATTGCCATCCTCGTTCTCCATCATGCATCACTGACGGCCAAATCTCATTGTGTAAAGGCTGCTCTGCTACCTTGTTGAGTTTTCTTTGGCGCATGTTGCAAACGTATGTTCAAGCGTTTCAGAGGTATGTTGCAAGCATTTCAGATGGATGTTGCAATGTAGATCGGGATGTTACATATGTTGCAATTGTTTCAAGTGTATGTTTCAAATGTTTCATCTGGTCCATACTTATGTTGCAAGTGTTTTATCTGGATGTTGCAAAAGTAGATCTGGATGTTGCATATGTTTACAATGGTTTTCAAATATTTTTCAGGCGTTTTCGCAAGTGTTTCAAACACTTGTTTCAAGTGTTTTATTTGTCTTTTTTTATATTGCAACTGTTGCATCTGGATATTTCAAAAGTAGATCGGACGTTACACATGGGATGCGTGTCGGAAGCGGCTGGCGGCGCACACGACCCTCAGGGCGGTACGGACCCACTGTTGGTGCGCTCGCTCGTGAGCCCGATGCGCTAGGCGCTCGCTCTTTCCCTGTGCAGGCAGCATCCGGACGCTAGAGCCCAGATCGAGCGCTAGCAAGTCCGATGTATGGAAGGCTGGAAGGCCTAATCTCAGCGTCCATAGGCGTTGTCTTTTTCCTTTTCTCCTCGATAACTTGAGCAACGCCATCTTCATCTCAGTATACACGTGTCTACGACCTCTGTCAAGTGTCGCGTTGACCTCATCGACTCGGTCCATCTTCATCATCCTCTGTCCAGATGTCTTCTCGTACTCCATGTGAGCAATGCAGATCACCCATGGCTTCTTGAATTAGAAGCCCTTCTTTGTCAAAGTCTTACCTCACCCTACCCTTGTCTTAGCTCGCCCTACAACACCATGTGGCCCATAGGCGTCAAGCCTCCTTGCCGAATTTTTTAGTTTTTAGCCCTTTTTTAAAAAAAATCACAAATATGCCCCAGGAGGAAAGATTTCAAAATCTAGACCCTTAGCTCGGCGCCATCGTTGCCGACACCGAGCTTACACTGCTCGGCGCCAGCGTCCCTGACGCCGAGCTCTTGGGCTCGAAGCCAACGTGGCGGTGACATGGCAGGAAGCTCGGCGCCAGTCCCCCTGGCACCAAGCTCGACGTCGTAGCTCCAGGCGCCGAGCTCGGTGCCGTAGATCTTAGCGCCGAGCTCGGCGCCAGGGTGATTGGCGTCGAGCATGTGTTTTAACCCCGGCCCCAACCTTCCTGCCCGAACCTTCTTCCTCTTCTTTCTCCTCCCTCTTGGGTTTTTTCTCTCCCCACTTCGCCCTACCTCACGAATCGGCATATTGGACCTTGGAAACTTTGATTTGATCCGTAGATCGAGAGCAAGGTATCCTCGCTCCCCTCCTAGTTTTTTTCGCATCGATTCGGTATATATTAGTTGGATTTTTTAACCTAAGAATTGTCATGACTTAGGGTTTCATACAATTTTTAATATTTGTATTAAACCTAGGTAACTGCAGCGCATGTTGTTATGTTTTATGGCTTCATTGTTGTGCATAACATTGGAAACCCTAGGTTTAGGGTTTAATGTTAATTGCTTTCGGTTCTTAGAACAAAATTGGTTGTATTGTAGTTATGGTTCTCATTGGTATTAATTTGTGATGTTTTGATTTTTGTTTGTTAAATTACATCCATTTTGTTAGATGCAAGAAATGTATCGGGAGGAGTTTTGGCGAAAACGGAGTCGTTCTCGAGAATTATACCCCGACACGTCTAGCAAAGATGCCCCCGTCCCTCCTAACCTCCATGTCCCTAACTATGACTGTGGTTTCCCGGCCCACGTGTTTCAATCGAAACATCTGGACACAGCGGCGCGTTGCTTCTACACATGCAATCGTTTTAATGTAAGAAATTGTTTCCACTATCTTTTTTTCTTTATTTGTGTAAGTATGCTACTAATATTTTGTTGGAATCTCGTTGTGTAGGACCATGAGAGGTGTTTTTCTGTCAATGGATCGACGGTGCAGACACGCCTGATCGAAATGAGCAAGATCGCTGAACTCGTGAACTCTTGGATCACGGCGGCTGGGAAAGATACGCCTCAGCATCTCAACATCGCTCTCTGACAGCTCTCCAACAGGGCGATCATCATCAGAATCAAGAGCCATTGCCATCTCATATGGCTCTGAATCATGCATAATTTCAACACTATTGGAGCCACGGAATCCATCTCCAAAGTGAACTTGCGCAGCAACAGGGGGCACATCCACATTCTCAGGAATGTCTCCTGCAACATAAGTAGAGAAATGAGGAAAAAATGAAAGAAATGGATGTAAGGAAGGGAGTAAGCTCCCAATAACCATGCGGTTAAGACACTTACTCGGATGATTCTGTGTCAAAGGGATCTCATGAGGAGGATCTATCACAACAAAATGAGTCTGACAAGCATCTCCAACTACCGCATTGGAGGCAGATTGAGCATCGGGAACCGTAGGTGCAACCTCCACATCCATATCAGGTTCTAGGATGGGAGGGTCGATGTGTGCCTGCTGACCCATTGGTGGGGAAAACACATGAGGGATGGGATCAACTAACACCCGACGCACGACCACGTCCAAACATTGCAGCTGGCTCTTCATAGCCGATCTCAGATAGTTCTCCCACTGATCCGCACACCCAATTGGGATCATTCGCCTGAGGATGTTGGCAGGAGAACCTAGGTGTAGTACACCCTCAACTGCAATGCCATCATCTCCAAGGCAATGCAGCTCCTCCTGAGCCCTTGCAACCATCTCACTAAATGAAGGCCTATCATTGAATAGCACAGACACGCTTTGCATGTCAACAAACTCAATATATCCATAGCGATCGTATTCAACGGTGCCTCCATGATATATGGTCACTAGGTTGTCCATCTAGTTTAAACACATAACGAAACACGTGTGCTTTAGTCCTAACAAGTACTTTCTAACTACAAACTAAGTAAATAAGATAATAACTACATACATAGATACCGTATACTAACTAAATAGCTAGGTCCTATTTAGTTAACTAAATATGTAACTACCTATCTAAGTAGCTATCTAACTATATCTATGTACCTATGTATCTATGTTTCTATCTATATACATATATATCTCACTAAACCACTAACTAAATCAACCACCTGAGTCATCACATTAACTAGTAAATAACAAATGCTAAAACTACTACACTACAGTCAAAGCTAACTAAGTACGCACATTGTAAATTCATAATTTTTACCTATCCGACTACGGAGTCGCGGACGTCGACGGATTCACAGCGGACGCCGGGCGTGGGTCCTGCCTTGACGAGGCGAGCCAGTGCTGGTGGCACTGGCGGGCACTACAGTGCGGGCAGCCGATAATCTGGTGGCGAGCAGCGGGCTTGGCCATGGGCGGGGGCGGGCGGGCTTGGTTGAGGCAAGGCGTGAAGGCAACACTGAGTCACGATCCTGGCGCTTGGCCTTGGTGCAGGCGCTGCCAAAGCGGCCATGGCGACACGTCGTCAGGCGAGGGCGTGGGTGGGGGGAGGGGCCTTGGCGTGGCAGTCCAGCACAGGGCGGCTAGGGCGAAGCGAGGAGAGAGAAGCTTGGCGTAAGGCGGCCGGGTCTTGGAGGAGAGAAGCGTGGCGGCGGGCGGCGGTTCGGCCTTCAGGCGAGGGAAAAGTGAGAGATAAAGAGGGAGAGGAGAGAAAAGATTGGGGCCCATACGTAAGGCAGGCTCGGCGCCAGTCACCCTGGCGCAAAGCTCAGCGCCAAGATCTACGACGCCGAGCTCGGTGCCAGGGTGACTGGCACTGAGCTTCCCTGTTATGTCACCGCCACATTGGATTCGAGCCCAAGAGCTCGGCACCAGGGACGCTGGCGCCGATACGTGTTAGCTCGGCGCCAGCAACGATGGCGCCGAGCTAAGGGTCAGATTTTGAAATCTGTCCTTCAGGAGCATATTTGTGAAAAAAAAATTAAAAATGGCTAAAAATAAAAAAAAATCGGGACTTCTTGCCATACACAAACCCACGGTCCATCAATGCCGAGCGTAGCCTACCCTTCACCACCCAGCTGGCTGCCATGTCACATATATCATGAGCCAAAAGACATTTTCCTTCGACACACATTCCTATCACCACTGGTTAGTCCCGTGATAAAAACATACATTACATGTGCCCTACATGGAACTACACGCACTGTATTCACACAAGCTCAAACATACTCTTCAAGCACACACAAGCACTGCCCTGCACACAACCATGTCGATCATTCATCACTCATAGAGTAGCCCAAGTCACATCTCAACTTGGTCTCTCAATAGGCATCTGTATACATTTCTTTTTATATATACACTGGGCACAGTACAACATTTATTAATTCAATTATCTTTGTCAGTTTAAGGATGACCACCTAATTTATGCTGACAACATTCAGAGCACTGCGGTACACCAGACCCAACACCCGTTTGGTTCCACATCAAAACAGGGAGTCAAGATACGAGTAGTTGTACAGGCGGCCGAACTGAAGCAGGCTGCCATACATCCTATCCCACACACCAACGAAAAGTGTGTCAGTGTCTGGGCTGAACGACGTGCCGGATATCTCGCCAAAGAAGTCCAGCTCCTGCCTTTTGTTGTAGTCACTCTTCACGTCGTAGATGTGCACAAAGTCAGCAGGTTCGGCCATGGACATGAACTGGCCATCCGAGGTGAAGCGGATCGACCTGATGGCTCCAAGGTTACCCCTCAACACATGGACGGATTTTGAGAGATTCCTCACGTCCCAGATTCGGCATGTCTTGTCTTGGTTGCCAGTAGCAAATGTTCGCCCATCAGGGCTCCAAGCCGATGCAAATGAATAATCCCGATGTCCTTTTATGGAATGAAGCGTCTGCATCCAGAAGCAAAATCAAATGGTCAACTGACCTAATTCACATCATTACAGCACTTTTACACAGTCTGGTAACCTGAGCTTAGTAAACCATATTGATTAGTGATGGTACCTTTCCAGAGTTGGCATCAATAAGTAGACCATCAGGATCATCCCCCACAATAACAACTACCTTTCTGTCAGGACTCAACGAAGTATGCTGCATCAACAAACTACAAGTAAACACAGATACAGCAACAAAAATAATGAAGAATTGCACTAAACTTGACCTACTCCCTTCATTCCAAATTATAGCTCACTTTATCTTTGTTCTAAGCCAAGCTTCTTTAACTTTTGACCAAGTTTTCTAGAAAAAATGCACCAACATCTACAACATCAAATCAGTCTCATTAAATTTTCATGAAATATGTCTTGATGGTGCATTTATTTGAACTTTACTTTGGAGAAAAAAGAACTTATTTGTGAAATTCATACAGATGTTGGACCCATTTATCCTCTACATTATGTTAGAAAAGGTGACAAGGAAGAGGGAAGCTAAGGATGCCATGTCCAGAACGACCAGGTATATTGAAGGGTGCCAGCAGTGCATGTCACTTTTCTTTTATTATTAATACTGTATCCAGAAGATGGGAGCCTACTATGTCATCAACTGCGGCAATAGAAATGTAAAGGCATTTTGGATTTGTTCTACAAACCAAGTATAGGTTTATGTATTGGTATTGCTAGATTCACCCACAGCTATAACCAATAGGTCAAAAACATGCCCAAGAAAGTAGAACAAGCTGATAATACAAGCACAGCTATGGGGCATATGAAATAGCAATGAAGTCTGTATTCTGTAAATTTTATTTGCTGACAGCATGTGTAGAAAGATGTACCTTGTAATGATAGCACCAACAAGAAGATCCAAATATAGAACATAAAGGTAATAGAAATAGCTAAGAAACCAAAGGAACCTACATTCACTGGCCATTCAAACTGAAAATGCTTGAATAGCTGGAACCTCTCCATGTCATAGTATCTCACACCAGAGTCGTTATTTGATGCGATGAAGTGAACGGCGCCACTGGGGGTGCAAAAACAGAATTAAAATGAATATGTGTTCGGTGAGATAGCATCTTTAGTAACACAGATAGGAAGTTACCTAGAGGTATTAAATATCTCAACAGCATTTGTAATAGCATTATCATCATAAGTTGTTCGACAGCAAAAACTAATACCTTCCCGATCAAGGTGCTGCAACACAAGATAAATCAATTGAACAAAAGATCAGTACGGAGAGCACACAGAAACATTAACCATGTAAACACATGCACAACATCCATCAGCTCGTTAGTAAAATATGGTTGGATAGTCAATTTATATGGATCAAAACTAGCTATTATGCTGCCTAATGTAGCGAAGCTGTTGGGCAGACCGTTTATTACCTGGTGCCCAATCCAGAATCTACCCATTTCCATTGACTAATTTTACCCATCCCCATGGATATGCCCAATGGGTATGGACTATGGGTATGCCCGTTTCTGCCCAGATCTTTCTTTGTTCCTACATCAATCTATGCGTGGACTAATTATCCATGTCCTGTGATTAATTCTCCCGGTGGCGCCAAGTCCCAGGCCGGCGACCATGGCCTGGCTGCGGTTGTTGTCGCCTGCATCCGCCACCAGTGTCAGTCCCCATCCCAAACTCACACAGGCCGCAGCCGGCGACAACCACGGCACCAAAATTCTGGGGCAGCAAAGCAAACAACGCAGACGGAGGAGAGATGGCAGACGGAGAACTGCGACATAAGCTGTCGCCGGTGGACTCCTGAGACATTCTTCCGCACCGCCGATGCATGTCTCCTGGCCTCGCCTGACTAGCTGATGCCTACTCCGTGCTCATCTGCACCATCCTTTTCTCTGTTGCTGTCTCCGCCTCCCTGGCCCCACGGGTCTACTTCACCATCACCGTCTCTCATGTTTAGAGTGGGTATGGGTGTAATGGGTATTACCCGTTGATACCCTCCCCATATCCATTCTTTACTGGATAATCCATACCCTCCCCAAACAACACGGATATGAATTTGGGTACAGGGACTGGATACCTAGTGGCATGTTTTTAAGGCGTCACTTTGGCGTCGCCTAATCGGCAAGGCGCTACAGGCGGGACGACTTGGCGGACGACTCGCCTCAGATTGGTATGGCGTCCACCTTACTACCATGGTGTCCGGAAGTCGTCGATTTGGCGTCCGATTCGTCGAAATCGAGCAAGGCGGGCACCATACGGGGATGGCCACGGTAGGAAAACGCGGGCGTGGGAGAAAGGACGGGGAAAGTGCAGGCGCACAGGAAAGCATCGCGCGCGCGGGAGATTAGGCGCGTGGGGAGAGAGGAGCGCAGGAGAAATCAGAGAGCACAGAGAGGAGCGCTCGCAGGGAAGACGGACCTACCTGCTCGCCCGCGCGAACGCGTTTGCCTGTGCCGCCGGTAGAAGCTGCTGCCGCCGAGGCTCCGCCTCCCCCTCCCCTGTTCCCCATCCGCGCGAGGAGCAGCCGCCGGTGGGCTGCTGTTTCCCCGTCGCCTCTTCTGGTCCTCCATTGAGCAGGACACGAGCCGCTTCGCCTCTCCCTTCCCTCTTCCCCACCCACGCGAGGAGCAGCCGCCGACGGACTGCTGTTTCCCCACCGCCTCCTCTGGTGAACATCGAGCAGGAGCAGGACCCGAGCCGCCTCCTCCAGTCTTCCCTCGAGCAGGGGCAGGACTCGGGCCGCCACCTCCAGTCTTCCCTCGAGCAGGTTTCTTTAGTGGACTATTGTTGAACTACTTGTGTAATGGTTTTATTTGTTGCAGTGTGCTTATCTACTCGTTAATCTTTACCTGTCCCTCAACTAATTTCTATTTTTGCTGGTGCCATATTCCCTATGAAATACCTAGGTACTAACCTGAATTGTCTCTCCATTGCAGTGTATTGTTGGATGCACACTTGGGGCTGCGGGCTGCACAGGAGAGGACAACACCAAGGTATGACATGCTTCCAGTTCTCTACTCTATACTACTGTTGGATGGCCGTAAGGCGTCGCCTCGCCTTACGCCTTACTCGCTTTAGCATAAGGCGGTAGTTGGTCGCCTCGCCTCGCTTTACCGCCTTAAAAACCGCTGGCATCATTAGCCTAATGCGTGCATTATATGTCCACGTTTCTACAGAGGATTCCAGTAGTAAGAATAGATAGTGTGCTGCAATCTTTAGGTGAACATCCAATAAAAGAAAAAATAGATATATATACTGGTTAGCAGAGATAATGTGACCACAGTCCACAGCAAAGCTGCTGTGCCAACAGCTAGCACATCAACGGCTTGGATTCAATCGAACTTGATCCATAGTTGTTAACTTACTTTACAGATTAGCTCTCCTTGAAACCCACCAGCTACCAGTAAATTGTCCTTGACTGCCAAGGTACTAACTTGAGTCTGAGAAAAACCCTCTAATAAACTTCCTGCATGCTTCTGTACAACAATGCCCATCATCAGTATAAGCTGAATAACAAGAGAGGATGGGAAGACAACAGACAACAGAAAAAGAAAATGATATCATACCTCCCTTGGTGCCACATGTCCTTGGACGTTGATAAGTTCAGTATTCACACCACTCAATGCTGACCAGTGCCGAATTGAGTAATGTGATACTAGGTAGATGTCGTGCTTGGACGTAGCCCATACCAAATTCCTAAGCTGTAGGCACAAATCAGACTCTCTGTTTCATATTACACCAAAACCATATAAAAGAGAGGGCAACATTGATCAAAAGTTCAAGACCGTTGCAATAGGTTAGTTAAAATGCAGGGAAATCTTAGTTTACTTTTGAAAATCAAACATAGGCAGAACTGTGTAATTGGACCATGCAGACAACCCTGGTCCCTGAATATATTGAACCATTACCTCAGCATAATATCTCCAAATAGATGGAGTTGAATTACTACTGAAGGTAGCACAACCCTTCACACATTTAACAGGTGTACCTTGTGCTTATGTCATTATGCATGGCTTGCATGCAAAGCTTGAGTATTTTTTTGCGTAACTCAGTATACATCCAAGAAACCAACACAAGTGTGTCGCTGTTTCAATGTACATGCAGCTTCCTCTTGGAATCAATAGTTAGTTTGCAATCACAAACAGCGAATTGAGTGAAATAGACCAGCAGTTAAGTCACAATTGAGATAATCTTGTAACTTCTTGCCATTTATCAATATTTATGGAGAAATTGCTCAGCAGATATATTACAGAAAAAAAAATCCAAGAGACAAGGTGACTTTATAAGTACAAAATTGGTTTATGAAAAAATTATAGCATGCTCCTGTGAGGAAATGTCCAGAAAATTGGTGCGGTCTATCAACAAAATACCTTAACTCATAATTACCCTGTATCATATTCTATCAAAGGAATAAGAATACACAAAAGGGAGTTAACTCACCTGAAAATGTAGAATAGTTGATTTAACCGATCTAGTATTTCGTCTGAACTCATAGTACATTCCACCTTTCTCTGTTGGTTTGCAATCCTATACCAAGACAAGTGTCAACCACATGCGGATAGAAAATTTTACAAAGCCGAACTTCCAAAAAGAGTAAGAGGCAAACCTTCATAGCTTCTTCTCCAGAGTTAGGTACATTCTCATAATTTTTGTACTGTTCTAATCTGGACTGTCTGTATTTTTTACGGGTTATGTTTATCTGCTCCCAGGGTATTCCTTGAATGTCCCTTCCTTTTCTTGCATCCGCTGATGAAGTATCTGGGATCTTATCATTCTAAAGAGAGAGAAAAAAAGGCAATCACTTAGAGCAATATAAGTGACTGTATAAGCAACTTGACCAATGTTCGAGTTGTAACACAAATGGTACAACATGCCAGGGTTGTGGAGGCAATGAACTAATGAAGTGCACAATAAACAATATAACATTGACTTTATTGGAATGGATTGTATCATAGCTTCCAAGTCAAACAGCGAGTTGAATCTCAAAATTCATTTGCATGGGAAACCAGAGGGGTGGTACAATAGAAAGAAAAACCAAACTCATACAAAATTGCGTCTGCAAAGCTAGAAGATAAATATTGTAGAGTCATAGAATGAACCATGGACACGGCCATCATCTTATATACTATTATGCTTCCAAAGACAAACCCAAAATGACAGCAATTTACCAAGGGCTCAGACACCAAGACAGAATAAGCAACAACATAGCAAAGACAACAGAAATTAAGGATAGCGAGGAGCAATTTTAGAAAGATAAAAGAGAAGATAGCAGCGAATCCATAATTTGGGTAATTGCAATTTTCAGCAGACAGACATTTTGCAACTGTATGAGGACATCACTCTACATTAAAGAAAACAGACAACTGTAAGAGGCTATCAAGTACATGCAGTATGAAAAACAAGAATTGGTGTTCAATGGATTCAGTTAACTAATAAACACGGGCATGCACAATAAGTGGCTGAAACAAATCACTGGCAGGGGGGTCTCATTGGTTCAGTGTCTAGTCACGCACACTCGCTAAGCAATGGCATGCCAACTACATAAATGAAACACTACATCAGCATCCAAGATAATATGCTCTACATCAGCAGAACTACATGCTACCTAGCCAATAAGTTTTGCAAATGAGAAAAGCATATAGCATACTGTTACAAGCAGCATGTGGGGTAACATTGGTACATCATGCGGCAAATAAATATCTCATTGACTTGCTGCATATTGAGATACCGTTGCAACTAGCAATGTGGGGTATGTAAGAGATATGCTAAATCAGCATTCTAAATGATACAAGCTTGTAGTCATGAGTTGATAATGTTCTACTCGTCCAATGAGGATTGTGCATCTCAAAAGCTTTGTGAAGACTCAATTGCACATGCAATAGATGACAAAAAGAAAAGAAAACGCACCGGTTGGCCATAATCATTATCCTCCGCGTCAGAATCCCTAAGCCCTCGCTGCTCGTCTACCATGTCATCAGCAGGATCATCCATATCATAGTCATCCTCCATCTCATCAATGTCGTCGTAGTCATCATAATAATTGGACATTGATCCTCTCATACCAGAGAAGGTGTCCCCTGCCTGCAAACAAGAACCACCACGAGTGACCATGCCATCCTGAAATCAGTTGCATATTTGCAACGACAAAAACATCCTAGCCCAAACAAAAATCACTGCACTCTTCGAAATTTGTGTTGGGCACATAACTCAGCGAATTCTAGCATTATACAATTTCGATTCTAACATCAGGGGCGGACCCAGTACTTGTAATTCGATCAGATCCGGATACAAATAGTAAGTTAGGGTTCGGGTGCTCGGTTTCGCACAGCAGGAAGGGAAGACCAAGCGATGGGCGGCGTACCTTGTGGTACTTGTCGCCCGCGAAGGGCCCGAAGAAGACCTGGGCACTTGACGTAGGGCGGCAGCGATGGCCCCCCAGTCGTTGTGACGAGAGAGAGGGGGGAGAGAGCGCGTCTCCGCGCACGCTAGGGTGAAGAAAAGGCACGGTTGCAGGCTTGCAGCGTATAGGCCCTGGAGGGTGGAGGCCCGGGAGTTTTCGGCTGGCTGAAAAATAACCTAAAATATTGTTCTGGTTGAATTATTGTGAAAAAAAAATATTATTCTAACGATAAGACATTGTTCTTATAAACAGTGCCCGCGTGAGTAGACTGGCCAGCTAGTCAGCCGAACACTCCATAGTTCTGCAATTTACAGCCGGTTGTTTATCTATTCTCTGCTCACTCCATTCTAGATCGTAATAACAACCGGTCGTTCTGACCTTTTAAATAGTTTTTATTTACTGTATTTTTGGAACGAATAAGAAGAACTACCTACTATATTAAAAAAATAAGCAGGAAAACAAACTCAACAAATAGGAAAAGAAAAATAACTCTAGTCGATCGGATTGGGACATCGACATGAACTGCACAACGCCGAAGCTCAACTCAAAAAAAATAAGAAGAAAAAAGAGAACCACCATCAACTCCAACCCACCACATTGCATGGCCACTTTCCGGACGACTAAGGACGTCAGGGCGAAAACACAGTCGTCACCGCTGGCGCCGTCGTTACCGACAATAATCCACACCGGACTAGCCTGTTGCCCAAGCAGGACTAGCCGTTGTAGGTCGCTACAAGTCGTGTAGCCCTCCCGCAATCGGATCCGCTTGCACCGCCTGTTAAGATGATGTACTACACCGGACTAGCCACCGCCAACCAAGGCTAGCCACCGTAGCCCGCTACAAGCTACCAAACCAAACGCGTAAGAAGCTACCTCTGGCGCTCACCAAGCCAATCCCATCCATCGAGATCCATGCGCGCACACTCTAGCTTCCAGAATCTAGCTGCCTTATTGAAGGTAGAAGTGCCACACACGTCCTCCACCAACTAAACTTTAGCCGTTAGGGATCCAAACGAGGGTAGTTAAAACTTAGCTAAACTTTAGCCGGGGGCCAAAATATACGCAATCTCTTTAGTTGTTCTATCCCAGCTAAAGCGTGGTTAAAGACGAAATTGCACCTTTATTTTTGCATCGTCGGCCACTCCTTGGCCGGCCGGCTCGTCTGGAAAGGCGGCTGCGTCGGCGTCTGCAGCAGCCACCTCCCCGGCTTCCTCGTCGACGAAGTTCGTAGACTTGAGGTAAAACAGCCGGGGGCACACGTGGCCGCGGACATAGGGCTCGTCGCAGTTGAAGCACAGCCCTTGACGGCGGCGCTCCAACTGTTCCGCCGGCGTGAGGCGACGGAACTGACGCACGGGAGGAGCGCCCTGCCCGCCCGCGGGACCAGCGCCCGGCTGAGCTGGAGCCCCCGCTGCTTGTGTCGGGGCACGCGGGGGCAGGCCGGGACGAGGTGGAGGCCGAGCACCCCGCGGGGGTGGCGCCGTGGGCATGGCCGTCGCCCGACGCTCGAAAGCCCGTGCCAAGTACATGGCCGTCTGGATGTCCTGGGGATCGCGCATCTCCACATCCACCCGAATGTACTCGGGAAGGCCGCCGACGAAGAGATCGGCCTTCTGTTTGGCAGAGACGCCACGTGCATGGTAGGACACCACCTGAAAGCGGTCGGTGAACTCCTAGACATTAGATTGGAACGGCAAGCGCCCCAACTCCGCCGGCCGAGTACCGCGAACTGGGGGTCTGAAGCGTTGGCGGCACAGCTCGACGAAGCGCTCCCAAGAAGGCATGCCCTCATCCTGCTCGAGGAAGTAGTACCAGGTTTGCGCCAGGGCCCGGAGGTGGTACGACGCAATCCACGTTCTGTCGGAGGCCGGCCATCGTTGGCCCGGAAGAATTGCTCGCAATGGTTGAGCCAATTCAGGGGGTCTTCCGAGCCGTCGTAGGTTGCGAACTCGAGGCGATGCGTCTTGGGCGGCAGGCGGTCAAAACCGCCCCCATGGCCTGCGGAGGGCGCTCGTAGGGGCCCTCCTGGTCGGCCCCAGGTGGCACGGCCACGTAGGCAGCCACGGAGGCGCTGGTGTCGTGGAACAGTGTCCCGTCCACGCCGCCGTACAGGGTCCCTGATGCATAGGGTTCCCCATGGGCGACCGTCGATGGAGCCTGAGGGGTGGTGGTCCGAGGCGGCGCCGAGGAGTAGAGCGACGCGGTCATGGAGTGGTGCGCCGCCAAGGATCCAAGGGCCCAAGCCGGAATCGGCGACGGCGAGTGCGGAAGTTGCTGCATATGGATCGGGACCTGGGATACCGCCAGCTGAACAGAGGTCGACGGCGACGGCATGGAGTCCGTAGGCATCCCATAGGGGTAGGTGAGGAGCGGCACCAAGACGGATGAGGGCAACGGCGGCGGAGGAGGAGGATGCGACGGTTGCGGTGGTTGAACCACGTACTGGCCGCTCAGAAACACCCTCATCATGTCCTGCAGCTCATTCACGCCGTGGCTGAGATTGACGATGGAGGTCGTCACCTCCTCGGGCGTGAACACCCGCCGCGGCGCGACGGTGGTCGTCAAGGATTGGGAGGACGGCACCACCAGAACGCCCGACGTAGCAGGGGGCGCAGTGGAGTTGGCCGGCACCGGCAGAATCGCCGGCGATGGCGCGGCGGAGGAGGCAGCGGAGGTGTCCATGATCGGCAAGGTCTCTGATACCAAGCTGATAGGAACCGAGGTTCCTCCCCTGACCGAGCGTAGGTTGTAGCGGTGGGTGATCGGGGGTCGAGGCTTAAACCACGATGGACCACGGCGGGGCGCCGTGATCTCGTGGGTGGAGACTGGCGGCGTGCGTGAGGCAAGAGGAGAGGCGATTAGGGCACAGGATAATCTCCCAGCTCCCTAAAGGAAGCCGGAAACAATAATATATTTTTGCTTAATTTCCTCAATAGAGTTTACAGGTATTTATATGTCTCTGAATAATAATAGAAAATAACTCTAATATTATGTAAAATATGATAAATATGGGCCTTGAGCCCCCTAACCCGCCGCCATCCTCTAGCCATTGCTGGGCCTTCGCCTGGAGTACTGGATGCCGGTCATAACACCATGAATTACATTAGAGAGATTTTACACATAAAAGGAAGAACCTGGAAGCCCACAATGAGCACCAAAAGGTGCAACTCAAGCCTCATCAGTGTAACACACCATCTTTGGGGAAAATGAATGGAGTTATAGTTCAGTGGAACAACGCTACTACCACACTCAAGACAGTAATCAACGCAAGCAAGCTGCTCTGAGCGTGATGACCACTGTTTGCAGTGGCACTATCCCTCTGGGGGACATCTGCGCAAGAAAGCCCCAACTTGCCTTCTTTGCACTCGCTGGAAAACAGGCCTGGTGGATACTTGCCATAGAGGTTGATGTAGCTGAACATTGTCGATGCACAGTCGTTGCTCTCGTCATTGAGGTAATTAGAATAAGGGCACGCGAATTCCTTGAGTGCGGCACAGCATTCGCTGGCTGGAAACTTTGGCCCTTTGCACTTGCTTGTAATGATTGTGTAGTTTTGGAACTCAAAGTTCACAGGGCAACCTGATGATAAGCACAGGTAGGCATTAATAAAATTAGAAAATATAATTATGCAATATATAAGTAGTAGAAGTATGGAATGTGACCAGAGGTGTGTTAAGAGACAAAACACAATAGATGATATAAGATATGCTCAGTTTGTTCTACTCAGCACAAGATAAAAGCAATATATATGTATTCCTAATTGCAATGAGCCACCAAGGTTGCAGAGGAGCTACCTTGAAGAATTTGGTTTCTTTGTTGCCGATTAGTGCTAGGACCAGCCTTCTTAATTGACTTTTAGTTCCTCCAATGAAATTTTCCATGTCACACTAATAATTGATTTTAAGTATCCATTTTTTTCCTATCCAAATTCTGAACAGTTCAGTTTAGAAGGAAAAAAGGTTCCTGCTCCACCATCATAGGGACACAGGCTTGATAATATCCTTCTTTTGTTTCGCTCTCTATTGCCTCTATGATAAGGATTGGGGATGTATAGACACGGACATGAATATAAATTGGCTAACAAAAGCATATCACCATCAGCTCCTACCATTTTGATAGCTCCTGATGTTTGGATTTTTGTTTTACAAATAGACAAACTTGGCCATACTCCCCCAATGATGGCTCATAATTCTAATGAACAGGTGTTCTCCAAGTCCACAAGCTCCATGTCACTCTGTCTATAAGCATATAATATGCACTTTGTGCACTGTTCCTCATATGCATCATTGAAGCTTTAGTAGTGAAGAGTCTGTTCCTCCTATGCATTTACTAAACATAGTAGCAAGCCTTTCATTTACTATCACTGAGGTGACCGTCACCAACACCAGCATTGCTGCTGCAGCAGCCCTAGCCATTGACGCAGCGGCCAGTGAGGTCGCTGTTGTCACGCCGACCAAGTGTTCAAAGGAATTCCCGGGCATTGACATTGACATTCTGGCTTCCATGTAGGCTGCAGAAGCTACGCTAACACCATCTCCAACATCTACACTGCTCGCCGTCTCCATTCCAAGCCTTACGACCTCAAGCTCAACTTTGCTAGTGCATGACACCAACCATGGGCTCAATGAAATGGCCAAGGGTCATGCATCACTGGCCTGAAGATGTTAGGGAACATTTCCAAGGTTGTTCCACCTTCATTGTGGACTACCATGGCACTGGATATAAACATGTTTTCAAGAGAGCACTCACTTGATGGCTGCAAGTTCTGCGTCCGCAAGCTGTTGAGGCATTGTCAGCATATGCCGCTGGACAGGAGCAAGGAGCAAGGCGGCCTAGAGAGGACAGTTGTTCTATGGCTATCATTGCATACACTCATGAAGATTGCTAATGGAAGTGATAAGATTCAGCCAATGCCATGGCCGTCCTTCTTTTTTTTTTTGGAAGATCCGGTTCCCGGCTTTGATTTATCATAAGAAGAGTCAGCATACAGCTGTTACATGCGCGAGGGGCGCAAAATCAGCCACAGCCTAGGCTGTGGAGGGTTTTGGAGCTACATTAGGCTACTACCATGGCCGTCCTTCAATGTTCCTCATTTGGTTACAGCATGGAGCAGTTCTATTTTGCTTAGGAAACCTCCAGTTCATCGAGATCTCATGTGTGCATGCTGAAACTGTAGAAAATTGGAAACACAAGATGGTGATAAGAGTGTGTTCCATTGTGCTGATTCGAGAAGGCCATGTCCATGTGGTGGTATGTTTGGACTTGCTTGGCGTAAGGGTATGCAGTGGTTATTTTGCAAACTTGTGTATTCTATCCAAAGGATTGCTGCAGTTGATTCTATGGTCACTACCACATGAACATATTTCTAGCATCTGTGAAATTTGATTGGACAGTTTTAACAGTTTTGGTTGGAGCTTTCGCTCTGTGCTGTCCTGTCCTTGAATAAATGCTCAGTTGCTTCATTGGAGTGCATTTTCATCAAGCTAACCAGTGAGCAGATGGCGTGCTGGGTTGTGGAACTAATAGAATTGCAGCCTGTGCTAATTTGCTGAGAAACTACAGCTTGGGTGCAGCTTTCACTAGAGAGGATGGAACGTATCATGAGGGCTTTGACAATAAGCATTCTGTGAGTGCTCAATGGCCTAAACTTCCTGTAGTTTGGCAGCAGAAGCATGATGATGGGTTGTCAGCTAGAAGAGTTGAGATATTTCAGTTCAAATCATTGTTGACCAATGTTTTTGGACATACAGGCTTTGCTTCTGCAGTTGATAACTAGCTGTACTCCATTGTTTATTTGAGCTGCTAGAAATTGGATGGTTAAGAGTTCGTTTCTGTTTATGATCAATATTGCAACAGCAAAAGTTGCACTGTTGCATGATGGAGATAATTTGTTTGAGGTGGCATTGATAACACAAGTCAAAGCAACAGTCCAATTGTACAAATACAAGAGGCGCAAGAAGAGTATTGTGTGCAATCTTCCTTCAACATATATTGATAAGTTTGCAGCACATGCAGACAATAGTGTTTGCATTCAGTAGGGACAGGCTTTTAGGTGCTTCCAGTGGTAAAAACAGCATGCAGAATTATTTGTAAGCTTCCTCTTGTTGGCAGTGGGATTCATGCCATGCTTACATATTGTACGAGGAAAGTACAAGAGCAATGGGATCCAGGAGATATGCAGATGCATGGTGGTTTGTCTTGGCATGTGTTTGAAATGCAGTACAAGATTAAAAAAAAAAGGGCAGCCCCAGTGCACGTAGCTCCCGCTTGCGCAGGGTCAGGGGAAGGGTCCGACCACTTGGGTCTTTTGTACGCAGCCTTTCCCTGCATTTCTACAAGAGGCTGTTTCCAAGACTTGAACCCGTGACCTCATGGTCACAAGGCAGCAGCTTTACCACTGCACCAAGGCTCCCCTTCGTAGTACAAGATTGAGAGGGTGATTTCTGTTGGCAGTGGCATGAGAATGACACAGGAAGAGAATGAAGTGATTCTTGAGTTGCTGTCTCCCAACAAGATTGTAGTATGTCAACAGAAGTTATAATAAAGTGGTCCTTTCTGCAGGCTTTTCTACCTTTAGAAAGTTTCAGACTTGTGCACCTAAATCTAATCACACTAATACATTGTCAAGCTCTGAACATTGGCAGCAGCATGCGCAAATTGGCTAAGCATCCACTTTTAGTCCATCTCAGAGGAGCAACTACATCAGAATAGTCTGGGGGCAACCATGAAGATAAAGGTCTGTCAATGTACAACAAAGGAGTTGCCTGAGCTGCAGGGAGTTGAGTGTGGAACAACTGAAAAAGACAAATGGAACAAGGCCAAGTCATAGCACTGAAGAATCACAAGTGCCATGGGATACCGGTGGTTTGACATTTTTGCATCGACTTGAGGGCAAGTCAAATTTTATGGAGGGGAGAATGTGAGGAATCATCCTGGCCTGTTCGCTTGAACTTATCAGCCGGCTTATCAGCTAGAATCTACAGTATTTTTCTCTCACAACAAATCAGCCAAGACCGGCTTATCAGCCGGCTTTAATGCCATGGGCCATGTTGCCTACTGGCCCAAGCAGCTGAAGGGCAACACCACAAGAAGAGCAGCTGCATCAGAAAGGAAAATTCAATGAATTGAATACAGAGACATGTCCTGTTCATCTCCTCCTCCGGTTCCTCTCCTTCTAGCCCTTCTCCCTAGGTTCAGAGCTATCTTCCTTCCGCAATTCCGATTCTCCATTCCTCCATCCAAATTGCTTGCTAAACTCGAGACATCCCTCTTCCAAGAGGTTGTCTAATCCAGTTTGTACCCAAACTGTTATGCCATCAATGGAGGGGTACGCTAACACATAACTCCCAATCTCAGATCAAAATCACCCAATCCACGAATTAATCACAGGTTGAAGTGGTTAAAGGAGAAAAGAAGGAATGAAACGTACTATTCTTGGCCTGCAGCAAGCTCCTCCCTGTAGATCTGGAGCTCGACTGGAAGACGCTATCTGCTCATGCAGAGCAAACAGAAGTACAGAACCAGCCCATCAGCTACGAGACCGAAAAGCGAAACAGACAGCAAGAAACACCGGAGCAAAGAAGTCGTACCGGACAGGAAAGGACCATTCGCCGCAGAGGTGAGCCCAGCCACCACGGCGGTCGAGATGAAGAGGACCAAGAGCCCACGCCCGGCCATCGCCATGCGCCCGGCCACAACAAGCAAGAACTCGCCGCCGCTGTTGATGAGACACCGGGATGGCTGGCCTAGAGGAAATGGAGCTCGTGAGGCTGTCGGATCTAGGACGACGACGGCAGCGGCGGTGGCGGTGTCTAGGACGACATGCGCGCCACGACGTCTTGGCTGGTGGTGTTTGCAAGCTCTAGACTCCTTGCAGCTGGAATTAATTCGCGTGGCGGGGCGGAGTGGAGGAGCTGCACGGGTAGCTTGGAGTGCGAGACGCCAGAGCCGGGGACAGCCGAGAGACTCGACGCGGACGCGGTTTTATTTGGGCCATGTTTAGTTCCGTTCCCCCGTTTACCAGAATTAGGCACTATGCAAAAAGAAGATTTCTCGTCATATTAAATTTGTGGTATATACATAGAGTACTAAATATTAATGAAATCAAAAACTAATTGCACAGTTTGATTGTACTTTACGAGACGAACGTTTTGAACCTAATTAGTCAACGATTAAACAATTATTACCAAATAAAAACAAAACGATAGTGTAACTACAGTGATTCGACCGGCGCCGAATCGGCCGAACTAAACGCGGCCTTGGTGATTCTTTCCTCTGTTCCCGCTATGTGACGGTGGCGAGGTTGGCAGTGGACGCTAGCTGTAGCTGGGCTGGAGAGAGAGTGTTCAAGATCAAGGACGATGTCAAAGACGGTGATTAGGATTAACTACTACTGCATTTATTAGAGTCTCTCCATTTCAAATTTCGAACAATAGTTTTAACTATATATATCTAGACATAGTATATTTTTAAATGTATATATATACACATTCTCTCCATCCATTACTAATTCTGGTCATTTGCTCTATGTATGTCCTCTCTCAACTTCATCTTTGCTGACACTCTCCCCCAATTTCCTCCTCCCTCAAGTCCTCCCCCACCGATTGACCAGAGTTGTGTCCTGCCGCTCCGCGCCTATGCTTGACGTGTGGCTAGGCCTCTCCCATCTTGTTCCTTGACACGGATGGGAAGGCGGCTAAGCTCAATGGTGGGGAGGATGGGCTTGGAAAACCAAATTGTGATTGGCTCTGCTAATTGACCGTAGCGCGTCTCTCAGGATCAACTCCATTGGAGGCTAACTTGACATTGGACGACACTCCAACGACCAACAACTGTGAACGGTAGGTGCGGGCGGCATGTTCTCGCGTACTCGGGAAGGAGGAACTAGGTAGTTGGGATTGGTGCAAAGTATTAGAGGATGTGAAAGAGGATCTTTCCCTCTATTTTAGGGACTTATTATCACCAATTAATGGGGATGTGAACGAGGATCTATTATTGGAGCAAGAATTTTAAGCCAACTTTCTCAACGTGGATAGTTTTTTTGAGAGAAGGGGTCTGCTCAAGATGCTCTAAAGCGGTCTCCAGATGAGGATAGCTGACGAGATTAGCGAAAGTAGTGAAGGTTTAATGCCCACCATGTGCCGAGCAGATTGACTCGAGATTTGCACTTATGATTGACGCGGTAAACCAGTCTTTGTGTGGAGTAAATATACCTTATACCCGGTAAAGAAAAGAGGGCAAGAGACAATAAGACAATTGCAAAATGGTGGAATAATTGCACCTGTAGTGGAAAACGGACCTGTTGCTGTTGGTAATACCCTGGATCAGCGGGCAAGGAAAACTACACGAATGGGTGGAGTCTATCCGTGAACTTCAAATGTGTATGCGTGGCTTCGTGCTCAGATTCTCACGTCATTGACAGTTTCAAAAGGTTTGCAACTAGACCTTCAGCGACTCTTTCCTCGGAGGCATGTGCGCTGCTCCCATCGCACACATCATCGTCCTCGCCGTGCAAGTCCTCTCTTCTGCCAGAAAACGACGTCTACCGCTGGCGCTCTGGCAAATGGATGTGGTCTAATTGACAGCTCAGTTCCATGTGTCTTGAATTGGCAGACAGCCCATGAGTCATGATGTAGACGAACATCATTCCTCATCAATCATCATGCTACAGAGTCTAAATGCAAACATGCAAGGACTTTGACCGTTAGACGTGAATACGTTGAAACGATGTGTTCACCACTAGATTTTGGTTAGTTGCAAAGTTCTAAGAAAACCAAGTTCAATCAGATGTTCATACAGTATCTACCAACCAAAAAATGGATTGAATTATGGGTGAAACTAACTGTTCTGAAAAAAAGGAAAAAAGACGCACGGAGCATTGAGATACATACATCAGATCAGGAGGCTCAGCGCTTAGAGGAGCATAACACAGAATTCCTTTAGCTCTATAGATTGGGCAGTGTCTGGTGATTTTCCAGGACGCTGTTCATGACTATCTCTTCAGTTTATCACAGGTAAGCTATCTGTTGTTATTGAGGCTAACATGCCATGGCACTCATCTCTATAGTAGACTGGGAAAGATAATCGGCAAAAGGCGGCCATGTACAAAGCAATGTAGTTCAATTCTCTGTCAGGCAGCAGACATTAGTAAATCGCCATTTTTTTCTCTTGTTTCTGTACATTGCAGGTAAGTGTATTATGTACAAAATTTCCTCCGCTGCACCAAAAAAAAAAAAAAAAAAAGTTAGCATGCACAAGTGTGACTATTACGAGATACATGATGATTCCAATTTCATATATTCTATAATATCAGTATATCTGAGGCAGAAATAGCTTGAATGTGTCACTTTCAGACATCAGGGCACTATCCATGCCAACCTGAACTGGAAATTATGGATCCGAAGACAGACACTCAATGGATAGTGTACTAACAATCGCATGATGTCATACTTACCCTAAGATCAGGCTCTGTTACAGCTTCCAAGGTTTCTGCCATCTGCATTTGTTTGATAACTGTTGCATGCAATACCTGAAAGAACAGAACAAAAAAAAACCACGTAACTATGTAGTATATTATTTGAAAAAAAATTGACAAAAATGAGAACAAAGGAAAATAAGTTTATCAGATCTAATGAATAATAACTAGTATTATTGAATAATGAAAATAAGTTAACCGGTTAAATCAAGAACAAATATCAAACAGATATCAGATGGCCAGAAAATGGCTTTATTAATTAAATCAAGAACAGATTATTAACAGTATCTGATGAATAATAACTACTTGGTATGCACATTATGCCATAGCAAAAACCTACCACATAATACATTACACACTCTGGCAGTCTGGACAATAGCAGAACTTTATGAAATATACACAGTGGAGACTCGAGATCATCAGAAGATGTGTTTTAATACATTACACACTCTGACCTGTGGGTTCCCACAAAGTTGTCCTAAAGATATATCCACCTGGGAACAGTTAAGGGATTACCCAACAAAATCAAAAGCTTACATCAGATGGTCCCTGTAGTTGTTTTTGAACAATGAGCGGCAATGTTTTGGCCTTTAATGTGAAATTTTAGCATCACAAACTTGCCAATTTTAAATAAATTAGTAAAACCAACTTTCGTATATAAGTTCAACTCGCATAGCCTGAGAGTGAACAAAGATTTTGTTTAGTAAAAAGAAGTGATATAAAAGGTACCATGGCGCTCGAGCCATAAAGGCGAAAGCCCAAAGCAATTCTAAGCAGCATGAGATCCATAAAACATTGTTTGGCAGGTACCTTCTTTGTCTTCTCCAGATCAAACTCAATGGACTTTATCCTGTCAAAAGAATCTTGTATGGCCCGATCCTTGTCCTGTGGAAGCTCTGGAGGCTTTCTGCTCAGCTGATTAAACATTGACTCAAGTCGATCAAGACGCTCCAGGCAAGGATTTACACGATCTTCCTTAATTGTCTGAAGATCTGCCAGATTACTGGGTGCAGTTGCAGTACGTGAATGAACGTTTTCCAAGTGTTGTCGTCGACGAATGAAGAACCGCAAAAATGATAGTACTTTAAGAAATACAGCAACGACTCTTCTTGATATATATTTCAAGAACCCATCATCATTGCCTAAACCATCATTTGGGGCACGCCGACCTGCTGATTTGAACCCATATTTAAGCATGAGACAAGCTGGATATCAAGGTGAGACAACTGATTCGAAGAAATTATGGTGTATAACAAATTCTTTATAAAGCTTAACCAAATAATGTAGAAGTTTAAATGGATACCTGGCGCAGGTAAACCCCCATTTATCAGGGAACCTTGTTCTGTATTGAACTGCCTAATTTCATTTCCAGTAGAGTTGTATCTCCTGTTGGATCCTACAGCTTTATCCGCCATATGAGACATGCCAATCAAACCACTGTACGTTGCAGATCCTGATTCCCTCGCCTACAGGGTAACAACTTAGAGATGAATAAACTACAAAGTTATAAAACATGCCAACATGGTGGCATGCGGCTAAAAGGAACAGAACACCTAGTTTCTAATGAAAGCCTAAATATGCAAGTTAGAATCTTCATAGTTCCAAGATAGACACACTGACACGCGAGAAAAATAATGAGATTTCTCCAAAAAAACAAAACAGAACTTAGTAAGACTTTACTTCCTCTCGAACTGGGGCCAAACTAGGATATTCAACATCTTCAGGAGCCACAGGGGATCCAAGATCATCAACATCTGAACCTGATTCAGCATTTGATGTGTCACTAATTCGTTCTGGTAACTGAAAGAAGAAAGAGCAGCACATCCAATGTCAAAATTGGAGAACAGATTGGCTTATTCAGCACATGAGACACATCAAAATCAGTAAACTTACCTTGAGAGCACGCAATCTCACGGAGCCTGTAATTGTTTCTTCTATATCAGATACTTGCCCAACTTCCTTCAACGACTCCATGCTATGTACAAGCTACAATAGAAAAATAAGGTCATCACCAGCAGCAACAGCAATGACAACCAACAGATAAGTTAAATATACCGATGTACCATAAAAAATAGTAGACTACAATACAGTAAGAAGGCATCAGTCATAAATTTACCTTCATGATTGAAGGATCGCTCCAGGGGCCTTTGTTAGACCTCAGGCACCCTCCGTGGTTAGAACACGAGCATGAACCACCAAAGTACTCCGG